GCTTGGATCGTCAGAGGCTTTTAAAAGAAAGAATCTGAAGAGGTTGTAGAAAAAATGCTTTCTAAATGAGCCGCACGATCATCAGAGGCTTTTTTTTTTTTACTTTTAAAAGCATTTTTTCGGCCGAAGAGGTGGGCATGGGGGGTGGGCAGGGATTTTTGCTACCAGTTCTCTGAACCACTCGCCTCCATCGCTACCGGATCAGGCGATCCGGTCCGAACCAGGAGCATTTCACCCCTGCTCTAACTGAACTGATTTTTTTCTGACATATCCAATTCTCACTTATCTAAAAGAAAGTGATACACAGACATCTTTGCTCCTTTCAACATATATTCACCTAACGTTACTTTTCTACTAACATTTGCCCCTCTTTATTTTTAGCATAAATTTCCCTATTTTTATCAACAATCTAAAAGTGTCCCCAAATTCATTTAATAGCCCTGATAGCACAGATGAGCCCATTATTAGCGTTTATTAGTGTTCTTGGCTGCTATTTTTATGTAATTTTTATTGTTTTTAATTCTGCTTCTTTTTGTTATTTTGTTTTAATTGTGAGCTATTCAGAATCATGCATATGAAAGGGTCACCTATAGATTTACTAAATAAATAAATATGCCAAAGATCCCATTTCCTGAGAGTAGCTCACTTCATCTCCCATTATATTTCCCCCTTGTCCCCTTCAATCCTGCCAGCCTTCTTTCTCCCCACGCATTCCTGGAGGCCGTGCGGGTCTGGATGGGGAGAAATAGGCTCAGACTCAACCCTTCCAAGACCGAGTGGCTGTGGCTTCTGGCACCCTGATATAGTCAGCTGGTGCCATCGCTGACTATTGGGGGTGAATCTCTGCCCTCCACAGAGAGGGCTCGCAATCTGGGCATCCTCCTGGATGCACAGCTGTCTTTAGAAGAGCATATGACGGCCATGGCCAAGGGGGGCTTTTTATCAGGTTCGCCTGATCCGCCAGTTGTGACCCTTTCTGGATCGGGACACCTTGCGCACGGTCACTCATGCCCTTGTCACCTCCCGGCTGGACTACTGTAATGCTCTCTACATGGGGCTCCCCTTGAAGAGCACTCAAAGGCTCCAACTGGTCCAGAATGCGGCCGCGTGGGTAGTTATGGTCGCGACCCATTACGCCCATGTAACACCTCTCCTGCGCGAGCTGCACTGGCTCCCAGTGGTCTTCCGGGTGCGATTCAAGGTGTTGGTTACCACTTTTAAAGCGCTCCATGGCTTAGGGCCTGGGTACCTCCAAGACCGACTTCTGCCACCGGTAGCCTCCCACCGGCCAGTTCGCTCCCACAGAGAGGGGCTCCTCAGGGTGCCATCGGCCAAGTTATGTCGACTGGCGACACCCAGGGGGAGGGCCTTCTCTGTGGGTGCTCCTGCCCTTTGGAACGAACTGCCCCTGGAAATACGTAAGATTTCTGATCTCCATGTATTTCGCTGTGCTCTTAAAACCCTACTATTCCGCCAGGCTGGGCTATCTTTGTGAATGATTTTAAATTGGGCATTTTAATTAGGTTTTAATTCTGAGCCAAAATTATTTATTACTTTTAATTGGTTTTTAAATCGATGTATATATATTATGTTTTAATTGGCTGTACACTGCCCCGAGTCCTTCGGGAGGAAGGCGGTATAGAAATTAAATTATAAATAAATAAATAAAATAAATTCCCTATAGTTGATATGGCAGCAGATTTGTCTGTACAGCTTGAAATATAAACATCAACAATTTGAACAGAATTTGTTAAAAAATAGGCAGTCAATCCAAGTCCTCAGATGTAATAGATCTAATACATCACCTGAAGCAATCAATCAGAAGTCTTGTAGCTGGATTTTAGCTAACTGAAGCTTTCAAAGAGTGTCAAGACCAGCCCTCATGAAGAGCATTATGTAGTAATAGTACTTAGACTTATATACCGCTTGACAGTGCTTTACAGCCCTCCCTAAGCAGTTTACAGAGTAACATATTGCTGACTCTGGCTCCTCATTTTACCAACCTCGAAAGGATGGAAACTGAGTCAGCCTTGAGCCAGTGAGGATCAAACCCCTGGCAGTCAGCAGGATTAGCTTGCAATACTGCATTGCAATCAATAAAACACCAGGGCTCATAATTATATGACCTCTCACTGGAGGTTATTCAAGTATGGGCGCTATGGCGTAGAGTTGTAGTTGTTAAAGCAGATAATGGTGAAGTTTCATGTTCATATTGCAAAGCAATTAAGAAAAACATCCATTAATATGATAATGTCACACATTTCAATTATTTTAGCAATTATTCCTTCTATTCTGATGGTGTTTGATAAGAGGCCTGTCTCCTGATCCTTGCCAACATAAATTCCACAGGATACTTTTTTGAGGAGAGTGTATGAGGGCGGGCATTACTGTTCAATTAATTGAAAATCAATAAAAGTGTACAATGCAGATAGGGGCTACACCTCACAAGCTTTGGAAAGGAAGGGAAGGGAAGGGAAGGGAAGGGAATTTGTTTTTTTAATCTTCAGATAGTTTTTTTAAAAGAAAATGATTCTGACACTATGAAATATGGAACTACCTTTTATTATAATGAAATATGTAGACTCTTCCAGACCTATCTTCTGATATTTTCTGGACCTTTTCCATGTAAGTGGAACATGAAATGCTGCTTTTTACCAAGTCAGACAATTTATCCATTATCTCTCCATTTATCTAGCCCAGTGACAAGCAATGCTATAGGCTCAGAGACAATCATTCCCATTTCCTAAACTTTTAAGCAGAGGTTCTATGATTGAATTTGGATCATGTACTCTGACCTCTGATATTAGTAATCCTATTCTGATATTGTGCTTTGGTACTAACCTTTTGTTCATATCTGTGCATTTGGATCCAGGTTAAAACTTGTCATCATTTAAAAAAGATAATCAATGAACAACATTCATTAGTGTATATAGTACATAAATCTATTTTTATCACTTTTCTTTCCAAAATTCCCAGGACGTTAGCAATTTTTCTTTTGGTTGCACAATTAGGAATAAGGGTTGCAACATTGTTGGAAACTCTGGAGGCTGTTTCCCATTTTATTGTTAGTATAAATAGTGCAACATCTGTTCCCTCAGTGTGTGTATCGTTTTGTGAAAGAAAAGACCTGGAGCCAAATTCCATTTTTGATTCATAAACACTTGTTGAAGAAAAGCCAATGGGGATCCAAGCAAACGTCAGCAAACCCATCCAAATCTCAGGCTATTCATTTTCATTCTTTGGCTTCAATTGAGAAAAACAAAACTCAAAACTCAATATCTCTCCATCTAATTATAGTGGGTAGTGGTTATCTAGTGCAATATAAAAAAATCTCTTATACTTTATTGCTGTAGTTTGTTTCCCTCTACCCTTATTTACAGTGCCAGCCTTATTTTCAAATTAATTTACACTTTTCTAAATTAAGCAGAAATTAAAATTTTTAGAGAGATTCTTTACACTAAAATAAATTGCAGTTAACACCCCAATAATTTTCACAAATTTCAAGCTTTTGCCTTTAAATATGATTTAACAGGCCCAAACTGAGTGCATTAACTCATCTTAAAACCAATACAACTACGATCCATAGTTAAATGAGAACATAATATGTGGTAAGGCTGTATGGCCTACGAATATACAAAGTAAATATTGACCACCATCCATAGAGGTTGATCTTAATTTGACTGACATTGCTCAGATTCCAGCCAACCAAGTCGTTTGGGATACTGTATACTATAAATTAAGGATCAGTGGAACTAACTGATTCTAATCCCCAGCTCATGGCATTATTTCTAAGCTGCTTTCATGGGCCAGTGTCCTTTCCCAAGGTATCAAATATTGGTTCTATTTCTTTATGCTCCAATTCTCCACTTCTGAATTCTTAGCCTTTATTTGTTGCAGAGACTAAGGATTAATTACTCATTACAGTACTAATAGTAATCAATTACCATAGTAAGGATCTATTACTATTAATTAATTGATATTCTAAGACAGGAGAATGTGATATACATTATAAATCAATAATTATTTGCTTTTAAAATGTATTGTCTGAATTATGATTTTTCATTTTTAATCTTCATGCTTACCCACACAGAGGTTGCCCAGAAGAAATTTCTATGGATCCGCTGTGAGAAATTCCTAGTGGATTGTGTCTAATACCTTCAGAAAGTCCATCAATACCTTCAACACCTTTTATCCCATCTTCTGGCTATTATATTGAATTTGGCCTTGCAGTTTCCTTTTGGCTAATTTAACTGACAGCTGCTGATACAGTCCTTCCTTGTAAATTTCTGCAATCCACTTTTAAAGCTATCTGAATCTATGGTCATCATGGAAACTAATTCCATATTGACTGCAGTGGAAATTAATTCCATATTGACTGTACTATCCAACTACTTCATGGGATAACTCAGCTTTTTAGCAATAGCACTTCACCTTATATACAGCTTTATAGTCTTCTCTAAGCAGTTTACAGAGTCAGCATATTGCTCCCAACAATCTGGAACCTCATTTTACTAACCTTGGAAGGATGAAAGGCTGAGTTAATCCGTCAGGTTTGAACTCCTGGCAGTGAGCAGAGTCAGCTGCAATACTGCATTCTAAGCACTGTATCACCACAGTTCTTTTAGTATCTGAACTACGGCTCTTTTTGTATTTGAAATCTCCCACTTTTCCCATACTACTTTTCTTTTTCTGTAACACAGAGGAAGTACTTTGATCAGTGCCATCTATCTTCTAGATGGCAGACTATTCATCAGTGAGGATGTTAATCTGGGTTCTAGATTTTGGAATCCCTTAGTATATAGTGTCTTGAGCTGCAGTATTAAAATGCAGGGATATGATTCTACCACATGCTGCAATACCAATTATATCATTTTTCTTTGTACCACTTCTGAGTAATGTCATCCTACATTCATTTTTACTCCCTAAATTCATTATACACTATGGCTACATTTATTATTGCTCCAGTTTTCTTTCACCGAGCTGTGAAACAGTTTCCTTACCTTGGCACACATTATGATCATTTGCCTCGAACCCAGCTGCACACTGTATCCGAGATGGTACCTGATCTGGAGGCGTCCGACGGATGGGATTACCATTTCTGCTACCAGTGTCTGATACTGTTTCTTCTTGGCCGTTATTGACAATGATCTGGGCTGTTCTGGGCAGACAGAGGTATCCTCCAAAGTGATTAACACATTTCATTCCACCTTTACATGCTTCGTGCACAATTTCACATTCATCAATATCTGTGATTAGTAATGACAAAAAGAAAAGGAGTTATTAATTAGAGTGAGCTCTGTGTTATTTGTCGTGAATAATAACCTGAAGTAAACAGTAGTATTTAGGAAATTATCAACAGTTAGAATAAAAAGTGGACTGATGAATGAACAAGTATAAAAATTAAGCCAGCATCAGATGACAAATTCACATTCCCTATTTAGAGAGATATGTCTATGGTTTTGAACAGGTAATATAACAAGCTCTACATATAGTGTAATACAGTAGACAGGCAATGCATTCTGATTCTGAGTGCACTCTTAAAATATATATATTTGATTTTGTAAGCAAGTATCCCCCTAACTACAGTATATAGAAAGATGAACACTACTCTGGAAAAGAGGAGTAGATGTATTTAATTATTGCAACATTCCTAATTATATTTTAGAATGAAAGAAGGATGGAGACATGGAATCCTGGAACACATTTTCTAATCAGCTGTCATCAGGAAGGGTCAGATGAGATGCTGCTGCTGTACCAGTTTCCTGTCATATAGTAGCTTCCTTGTCGAAGCAATGGAGTCCAAGAGTGATAGTACTGAGTGACTTTAATCTGCCTGGCATGGGTCAGAGGTGGCTCATGTAACACTTCTAATTTTGCAAGCTCCACTGGCTCCTTATAAGCTTCCAGATTCAGTTCAGGTGCTTGCAACCATCTCTAAAGCTATTTATGGTACAGGCCTGGTTATCTGCAGAACATTTCCCACCCCCCCTCCCCCCCCAGTTTCCATTTGTCTCTGTCCCACTATATCTGGCAAGGTGATATGTTTTGGATCCCTTCTATGAGACAAGTCGCCTTGTGGGATCCAAGAAGCAGATCATCTCTATCGAGTGCTTTCCCTTTGGAACAGCATATGCTCTGGGAATAAGATGGTCTTGACCCTGTCAGTCTTTCATAAGACCTTGAAAACCTGGCTTGCACCATATAAGCATGTATTGTAATGATTTGGGATATATTTGAAGTGTGGTCTCGGTTGTGCTTTATGTAATGTGCTTTTGTTTTTGTTTTATTATATTTTCTTCTAATGTTCTTAATCCTCCCTTAGCTATCAGGTTCCTATTCATGAGTTGGGCAGATGTATAAATTATTTAAATAAATCATTCATATCAAAAATGACAGGACTGGTGAACTGTTCAGCCATGTGTATGTATTTTATAAAATTTTACACCTGTATGATGCAAAGAGAACAATCCATGTGGCTCATTCTCACTGGATCAAAATTTTTTAAAAAAACATATTAGGAGGTGACCCAAAACATAGACATTTGGGACAACTACTGACATTAAAGATATAACTCCAAATTTGCATATATGAAAACTTCTACATTTCTCCCATTGTCTTCTCCATAAAAAGCTACCACTGGGGAAACTATGGAGGAAATGTTACTATACAAGATCTGGCTTCTAAGTACTTCTGACAGATATGAAAATATTAATGCACACCCAAATATACCTTTGCATCGCTGCATGATGGGGTCCCATTCATAACCATCTGTACATTGCTGCATAGAAAATAAACAAAATCAAGAAAAATAGATTAAATGCAATGGTGTTAAGACACAAAATGATACTGCTACATAGGAGTGGCTCCAGATTTTGAAAGAATTATTTCACAGCAGTTAACAAAACATTATCACTGCATAATTCTGCATTCAATCCTTTTATACTCCACAAATCTCTATAACATCTAGGCTGCTGCATGATCTTGCTGAAATTTTGTTGATAATACTTACAAGACTCTTTAATTAATTTATTTGAAGAATAAAAGATTATCATTAATGCGGCCATAATTATTTCCTAGGTAGTTCAGTATTTTAATCAATTTTATAGTATTTTATTTCTTACTTAAACCTCCCATCTCAATCAGAACTATGTCAGTTTAGTGTCAGCACTTAACCTAGACCAGCCTCCAAGATTTGAATGGCAAAAGGTATTTTTACCTAGAAAAAGCCCAAGGTTTCAATTTCTGCTTTCTCCATTTTAAAGATGTCACAGAGACTGCAATATATTATATTAGAACAGACTTCTCCCTCCTGGCATCCTCCTAAAGTGTTGGATGGCAACTTCCCAAATTGCCATATTAGTAGGGAATCTTGTATCATTAAGAAGTATCTCATAATTATCAAATAATAAAATTAATGAGAATTGTAATCCATTTACTAAGATGGCAGCAAATTGGGAAAACTGGCTTAGAAGAATAAGCATATTTTCAAGTCCCTGTCAGAACTTCCAGCTAACTTTCCTTGGTCTACCTTGGATGGTTTTGGTGTTATCATTGATTTATATTTCATCCTAGGATGTACACAAAATTTGCTTTGTGGTCTATAAAACAAATGTTTTAAAAGAATATTGCCTTAAAGTAGCTTTCTACATATCTGTGCCATTAACTAAACTAGACTGCAGTCCTTCTTATCCTTTGATACATTGGAGCTGCAGTCCAAATTTCCAGAGGACACAAGGAATCTGCTCTAAGATATATTGGATCTAGGGCACTTAAAAGTTGAAACCAGCATTCTGAATTATATCTGGAACTAATTGGCTACTGAAATAATAACTGTCTAGAAAAATTCAGATTTAGATACAGAGTTATTTGCTAGCAAGGCTTTCCACATCCTCTCCTTGAAAACTGCAGATTCTCTGAAAGAATAGAAAATAATATTTTTGAAAACTCTCTAATATGCTATGTTTTTCTCTTTTCCTCTCTCCCTTTAAAATATCATCTTTACCGTGTATGTGATAGTTTCATCTACTTCTTGTGAGTGTCCTGTAGCAAGGAGCAGAGCAGCAAGGACTGCAAAGATGACCATGATGAATCTAACAAGAAATAATATCCATTTTTTAAAAAAAATATTTGATATATACTCATACAAACATATATTTGAAGACATCTCTACACTTTCCCTGCTGTGTTTGGCTACAAGTACCCTACTATTCTTCTGCCAATTTAGCAGTTCGAAAGCATGTAAAATATGCAAGCAGAAAAATAGGGACCACTTTGGTGGGAAGGTAACAGCGCTCTGTGCGCCTTCGGCGTTTAGTCATGCCAGCCACATGACCACGGAGACATCTTCGAACAGCGCTGGCTCTTCGGCTTTGAAACGGAGATGAGCACTGCCCCCTAGAGCTGGAAACGGCTAGCACGCATGTATGGGGTAACCTTTACCTTTACCCTACTATTCAATAAAACAATTAGTTAGGCTGCAGCATTTCAGATTACAGAGAGGAGGATGTCTCAGTATTGAACACTCTTTGTATAAAATGATTCCCCTCTACCTACATAAAAACAAGGTTCAAGGAGAAAGGTTCTAGTTTTCTACATGCAGTTAATTATCAGAACAAAAATCCATTCAATCATGCAATTTCCCCAGACAGGATTTTACCACTAAGAGCTATGTCACAAGAAGAAGAGCATGGCTAAAAGCACCCTTCTGAATTCAGGTTTTGTAAAGAAAAAAAAACAACAACCCCACCCTTCAGTTAGCTTATTGGATGTCCAGTAATAGGCAAAAGAACCCCCACCCTGTCTAGTAATTATATTTAAGTACACAATATTCACAATGCTGCTGCAAAATAGCATCCGATTGCTAAACAAATTAAAAGGTGACTGTTCCACTTCATTGTTAACATTACTAAAATATACACACACAGATATAATGTTCAAATGACCTGCTCCATCACTGATGTCCTCCATCAGATATGACATGCTCCATCACCAGAGGTTTTTAAGAAGAGATTGGACAGCCATTTGTCTGAAATGATATAAGGTCTCCTGCTTGAGCAGGGGGTTGGACTAGAAGACCTCCAAGGTCCCTTCCAACTCTGTTATTCTGTTGCTTAAATATTGGGAGATTTTATGAAACTTTCCCCAAGACAGAGGACAGAGCAAAGCAACTTGGATAAATTAAGGGGAAGGGTCCCGAAGTATATAGCCCTAAAGGAAGTTGGCATTAGTATATTTCCAGAACTGGAAATAAAAACATGGGCATTATAATAAAACAAAATGGATTGTGCCCAATATATTATTTAAACCAACATTATTTACGTAACACAAAGCACTTTTGTGAAATCCAGATGCTTTAAACAGTTTATTTTTAAAAAAAAAATTATGGAAACAAATTAAACACCTGGAATCATTCTAAATGTGGTAGTATAAATGCTGTAATTAAATATCAAATATAAACAAACACAGAATAACAATCCAAAGAACAAAAATGAAATCAATCATTTAATCTTTTGTTGGCTAAAAGCTTTCAGTACTATTAAGAAAACTTTCTGGGTTTTAATATAAGCCACAGTAACTCATTTGGTGACTTTGGGCTAGTCCAAAGTAGCTCACAGGGTTGGGGTTGCAGAAAAATTAGAAAGAGGGAACACCTTAAATACCTAAATGTAAAGTAGGGTATAAAATAAAATAATGACAATAAAATAAAATACCTTTGCACTGATCAGATTGGACTTACTTCCCAATAAATATGAGTAGGATTGCAGTATGGAAGTGCTTAAAAAAGATCTAATCAGAGAGAAAATTGTAACTTTGTGAAGACTAATAGCTTTGAAAACTCAAGATTTGCATTTACTCAAATCCCACCTTTGAATACTGTTTATAGAATTTGTCTTCACTGGCAATTGAAAGTTGAGACTCAAGAATAAGTAAAATGGCTTACATAAGAATAGAGACACAGGAAACACACATTTTAAATCAATACCACCCAGCTGGCATTGAGGCTTTAGCATGTAACAGAACTAAGCATTCCTTTCTGGCATTGCCGAAGTGCCATGGGACATGCATGGCAGGGCTGGAAAAAAAAATCAAGAGATAAAATAAAAGGGTTTCAATTGCAAAGGTTGCGGTCACCACCTTAATGTTTTCAAATAAATATGTAATTAATAACACCTTCTATCCCCCATCTCCTCTTTGTCACTTTACATGACACGCTAACTTTGCCCTCTGAGTCAATTTCGGCATGTTGTACATACTGTACAGAGCCATTACGCTGCTTCTGCTCTTTGGAGCTTCTTTTCCACTGACAATCCATCCTTCCAGCTCAGTTAAAAAGCTCACGTGCTTGCCTTGGTGGGCAGATACAATACTGGCTTTCTTGCCATCAATCTCGTTTTCTCTCATTCCCAGGACATAGCAAGGCTTTATTGGATTTTTAAAAATCATCTTTACCAATATCCAATTTTCTTCTTCCTATCCTAGTGCTTTCCCACAGGTGCAGGGACTGCTTTTGGGATCAACAAACACCATTTCACATAATTCTACCAATATATAGTACAGTACTGACTGCTTTTGCCACAATCAACCGAGTTGTAATTACTTTAAATTACCTTGACTCACAGAAAAGCTGATTAAAATATCAAGAAAGTGATCTGGATATGCACTAACAATAATAGCAGTTTCTACAATTGGTTTTTAACTCTGTACTGACTGTATCATTTTGATATAAAGGTGTGGATTAAAATGATAGGCAGTGATTCCATACTTGATTTTCTGAGAGTAAAAGCCATTGAACCGAGCAAAACTAACCTGACTTCTTAGTAGGAAGGTGCTACTGTACTGTGAATATCCCATGACGAAGAAATATTTATTTGCCCAAGTGTCTACTGTAACTATACATGAAATAACTAGCAGATAAGGGACTGTTAGCATGTAAAGATCTGTTTCTCAATCACAGGAATTTGAAGATGTGTGGACTTCAACTCTCAGAATTCTTCAGAGAACGTGCTGGTTGGGAAATTCTGGGAATTGTAGTCCATGGATTTTCAAGTTGCTGAGATTGAGAAACATTGTTGAAAAGATAAAACAATAAAAACATGCCTTCCCTTTCTTTAGTTTCTAAAAATTGGTTAGCGGGGTGCATAGTAGCAGTGATGGCAGAGTTACTCTGCATGAGCATATTCCTTCAATGTGTGCAGTGGTTTGAATGAACTATATGAAGTGCACCAAACTGCTTTTCTCTCTGGAAAAAAGAAGACGGGAGGGAGATTTCAAGCAACACATATAAATAAAATTTTATGAAAAAATATTTTTTTCTGTTCATGAGCTTCAAAGTATTTGACACCATCTGGAATTAAAGCCTGGACTTCTGAATTGCTATGGAATTGGATTAAAAAACATATGATCTCACCATCACATCTCCATACCAACTCTTCAGATGTAACATAGAATTGGAAACAAAACTAAGAGTTTTTAGAAAGAAGGATGTGTAAAACTAAGGGGGGATCCACCCTCTTGCTTTCCCCCCCATTTATATATCATTGATCATTCAGGCAGATGTTGGAACAAGCCTGTTTCTAAATGACTCAAATATTAACTGTTTGCTATATACAGATGTTTTGGTCCTGTTACAGGAACAGGCAACAGCCCAGGATTGGGAAGTCGTGTCATTTCAGGCCTTAGGGATTTACTTTTTGATTTCATGAAACAGTTTCTTTATCTGAAGGTCATTTCTCATTGACTTCAGCCACTTTCTACCATCCAAGTTGAGCCACTGCCAAATAATTGTTTGTAAATAGCAACAGCCCTCTGGCAAAATTCTGTTGTGTTTCTTACGTATTGACTCCCATATGCAAGCAAAACTGTAGGAAATATTTAAGTGGAGACTTTTAATTGTTGATAAGTGAGACATGAGACTCAGGGAGAAGAAGAGGGTTTTAAAAATGTATTTCTTTTATGGCTTTTCCAGAGTTGATGGGTAGAAACAGTGTTGGCATCATTCAGGGACATCTTTTTGCAGGGCAGAGTGAAAACAAGATGGAGTTGAAGCCCTCCCTGCACATAAAAAAGGGTTTTAATCCCACAGGCACCATCTTGATATTTTTATCATCTCCCTGAACAGCACTGAACAGCACACAAATGGTTGGCAACCAAAACATTCACAAATGGGGAAAGTCATCTAGTTTAAAAACACTTAAAGAACATTTATCCCCCTTGCTCCAAATTTTAACTGAAGCAAGAAATATCATTTGCAGGAGGGGATCCTATAAAGGAAATTATGCCAAGAGCCAAAGATACCACTACAAATAGGAAGCTGGCATGCTATAATGCAAAGTTTCAAACCCTTACTGCTCTGAGACTTGTTCTTCAATGTTGGAAGGATAAACTTATGACCTTCAATTACTTAATTACTTAATAAACTGAAAAGTTGATACTTATAATTATGAAAGAGTTGCTTACAGATACCAACCATATATGGATGATTATAATGAAAAATATGTAAAACAAAACATACAGGACATGAATGAGTTTTGAGAGGGAGTGTGTGTGTGTGTGTGTGTGTGTGTGTGTGTGTGTGTGTGTGATGGACTAGAGCTACTATATAAGGGCTACAAAAAGTTTTGTTTTGCTGATGTCTTTCTGTGGTCACTCAGATTGGATGGTGGAGAAAATATCATCAAGGCAATTAATAGTTAGGTAATTCCAGTCATTAAATACACAGCTGGAATAGTGGATTAGATACAAGCAGAACTAAAACAGAAAAATAATGACAATAAATCATATTCTTCTTCCTGTTGACAGACTCTACTTACCAAGGAAAATAGGTGGGCTAGAATGTTGCAAGTACACCAGGCAGTTGGTAAGAAGAAAAAAGAGCATTGGAAAGTGAAGGAAAGTGAAGAAGATCACGAAGAAAACAATAGCAGGCAAAACTGATAGCAATAAGACCTGGCAATAGCTAAGAGCAGGAAAGTTGACGAAAGAAACAGAGGGGCTAATTCTAGCTGCCAAGACAAAACGTTAAGTGCATATAAAGCCAGACTTGAGAAGACAGCACAGACAGCAAATGCCACCTCTCCAATGAAGCTGAAGA